TTTCTTGTTGTTGTTGTTTTTTTTTACTGTGGCACAGATGAGGCCTGATGCATTGTTTTGTTTCCCTCCTGAAGGTGAATCAGCGAAACGTCCCCGGGATTGATAATGCTTACTTGGCCATGGACACGGAGGAAGGCGTGGAGGTGGTGTGGAACGAGGTCATGTTCTCAGAAAGGAAGAATTTCAAACTACAAGAGGTGGGTGCTGTGCCAGGGTCAGTGTAGAGGAACATGTACAGTGAGGATCATTAGTATGTCAGCAAGAGGGATGGTGTTTGTACCTGCAAAGGGTTCTAAGTGTCCTGATGAAGGGTTTTGAAAGGACTGTGGTGTTTTTGTGTTTGGGTTTCTTTCCGTACTGTGATCTCACTAACAATGTAGAAGCCGACTGGTTTTCATGTCCCCCGTTGGCTTTAAGCTCCTTAGGCAAGTGTTCAGACTTGTTGCTGCCAGCAGCGTAGCAAAGTACATAATGTACCTGAGTATTTGCAGAAACAGTTTTCAGAAATTTGGAGAGGAGGGAGTAAGCAGACCAGAGGAAGTGGTATTTAAGGCTCTGGTTGGCTTATAACTTTTGGCACTTGATGATTTTGCGTCATTCTGAACCAGTTTTTCATTCTCTCTCTTATCTCGGTTGCAGAACTGCGATTAGTTGGAAGATCCCATCTGCTGCTTACTTTTTCTAATAAAATCAGTAAAGCAGAGGGAGTATTTATGTGTTAGAGAGTTACTGGGTTGCCCACAGCTGCTGTAGTTTGAGCTGCTTAGGGACCAATTAGTTCGAGACTGTTTCCAACAGGCAGCTTTTCACTTTTAATACGACTCAAAGAAAATCAGATGTTCTCAGTCTAATGGAGATTTTAATATATATTGTGTCAGACATTGAATGTCTGATGGTCTGTACGGACTTAAGAGTGATGGACACATGTTTACAGCTGTGAGATTTGCATTTGACTTTCTGTCTCATAGTCCAACCTGCTGACCAAGAGCAGGCCGGTTGTTGAGACATTAAGAGCTCACTTGGGCTGAATTGTTCAACTTTATTGCAGTAAAACAAGTAAATCCAACTTAAATTTGACAACATGGATAAAGATGTAAGATTCATAGCTCTAATTTTAGTAATAGTTACATGCTGCTGTGACGTCATGTAGTAATGATTCATCTCTTGTTCCGCAGGAAAAAGTCAAAGCAGTTTTTGACAATTTGATCCAGCTGGAACATTTGAACATTGTGAAGTTTCACAAATACTGGGCAGATGTCAAAGAGAACAGAGCGAGGGTAAGAGATCACTTCCCCCTTTTTAATCAAATCTTATAAAAAGTGTGTAATGGCTTTTATACTAATGTGTTTGTATTTCTTATTTGTCTGCAGGTCATTTTCATCACTGAGTACATGTCCTCAGGAAGTCTCAAACAGTTTTTGAAAAAGACGAAGAAGAACCACAAAACAATGAATGAAAAGGTTGATAAAAATCCTGTTTAGTTTGTTTTTTTACGTATTTTATATGAACTTTTATTCTCAGTAACCTGTTTCTTGTCTGACAGGCCTGGAAGCGCTGGTGCACACAAATACTGTCTGCTCTCAGGTGAGTAAAATAAATAGGTGAATTCCTGTTTGCTGCTTAGTGTTAAAGAACAAATAAATTGTGTTGTTGGGCACTGACATGGTTCACAGTCCAAGTGCCAAGATAGTACATTCACTACAGCTGCAGGCAGTCAGCTTCAGAGTCTTAAAAGAGGCTCGTAAATGTTTGAATTCACAAAGATGTTATTTGTTCCCTTGTGTGGTTGTTGTTTTTTTTTATTGATTTTTACCCTTGTTTGCTTTTCTCCAGCTACCTGCACTCCTGTGAACCTCCCATCATTCATGGCAACCTGACATGTGACACCATCTTCATCCAGCACAACGGCCTCATCAAGATTGGCTCAGGTAGAGATCACTGAAGGCTAGTGATGTAAAGATACAAATATTCAAATTGGTGAGATCAGAAAGTGTGATATCAATCATGGTATCAAAGACTTCAGTTTCACTATTACAAAGAAAAGGAAATATGCATAGTTTTGCACAGTTTCTACCCTACCTTAGAGATAAATTAATTATATAATCTGATAAAGAAAATAGAAGAGATAATATAATATATTCTGAGAAATAAATGAATCTTTTTCAGTCGTAATTTGTCGTCTATCTCATTTTGTTAAAATGAATTGTGAGAGAAGTCGTTTTGTGAACCCAGTGTTGAGTGTATTGTTGGATCCCTACTGAAAGCCAGAGAAATGTTTTAAAAAAATAAGATCAGGAGAATGTACAGACAGTGTTATATTATTATTATTATTATTATCATTAAGGCTTTCTTCCACACTCTTTCAGTTGCTCCAGACACAATCAATAACCATGTGAAAACCTGTCGGGAAGAGCAGAAGAGCCTTCACTTCTTTGCTCCAGAGTATGGAGGTAACATCCTCTCATTTGTTGTTTAACAGCCTGTCATTAGTCTCAGACACCATCGCCTTTCTGTGATATTGACTTCTATATATTTCTGCTTTCAGCTGTTGCCAGTGTTACCACAGCCGTGGATATCTATTCCTTTGGAATGTGCGCCTTAGAGGTGAGAGGAGACCTCGTTCTGCTCTGAGCTGTCAGTCGCACACTGACGAGCATAATCACTCTTTTGTTTAGGGTGAATCTGCTTGATTGGTTAAGACCTGATGGTGTATATATCAATGCATTCGTAACAGAAATGTCTCCCCAGCTTTATGTATGCTTAGTGTTGTTGTGCTGTCACAGAAATAGAAATCAGGATGTCTGTTATCTGTCTTTTGCAAGAAGGGAAATGTGGAAATACAGATTTTAATCATTCAGTCTTTTGTGTAAAAGTCACTTATCAGGTCTACAGTGATGACCAATGTGTCAAAATCCATTATTTAACAGGGGAGAGGCTGCTGTTGAAGTTCTGTGTTTGCATTATTGAATCACTTCCAAACACCTTTCTTTATCCAATCACTTCCTCAGATGGCTGTGTTGGAAATCCAGAGTAATGGAGATTCGTCTTATGTGTCCCAAGAAGCCATAAACAGTGCCATTCAGTCCCTGGAGGACCCATTGCAACGGGTGAGAGGCTGAGGCAACCATTATAGCCTGTATGGCTGTTTGGTGAAGATAAATCCATAATCTAAAGATCGTTCTTTCCCCTCCCCCACCTGCTTTTTCAGGAATTTATCCAGAAGTGTCTGGAGGTCGACCCCAGTAAGCGACCCACAGCCAAGGAGCTGCTGTTTCATCAGGCCTTATTCGAGGTGCCCTTACTGAAGCTGCTGGCTGCACACTGCATCGTCAGCCACCAGCGTGAGTGACAATACACACACACACACAGGGTTTTATCAGTATGAATAATGGATATTAGTGTCTTTCTTTGAAGATAAAGTTGCTGGCTCATTGTTGAAACTCAAATTACAAAAGCAGTTTCTTGTGCATTACAATACTAACTGCTTCCAGACTTAGTAAATATGTCCAAGGCTGCAAAATACACATACAGACGTTTAGAACACACCTAAGACTAGAGGAGGATAGCCTAGATGATATTTTTTCTTATAAAGGTCAAATTGGCCGTTCCCCCCTGTTCATATGGCAGATTGATTGATGAACATTTATTTGCCTTTTATAAACGTAGGCTGCAGCCGTGGTAGAGCTGGTTCCCCATGTACGTAGTTCTTGCTGCAGCCGCCATTGGTTCAAGTCCGATCCTCCCCTCTCTCTCTCCCCATCCTTCTGTCACTCTACAGCTGTCTCTATCAAAAATAAGATTTCTTTTTTATAGGAGGAGTCTGACATGAAGCCCCCATCATGCACAGTCACAAAAATACAACATAAATAATAATCATCATGGGTGAATGCTCTCATCTGATGGCTGTCTTCTCTGTTTACTTGTAGATATGATTCCAGAAAATGCTTTGGAAGAGATGACCAAGAACATGGACCCTAACTTGGTGATTGTTGAGGCCAAGGATGGAGTTCAGATGAAGTAAGTCTGAGTATCATAAAACCATATAACACTGATGTATGGAGATAATGAGATATAAACCCAGAGGAAGGAAGGAGATCTGTGGTAGTGTGTTTGTGGTTTTTTTGTGTGACAAGATTTTGTCTGTCTAGTTTGAATGTTATCCTTTCTGGTCCTGAAGGTTGCAGTTAAATGATACGTTTTTCTTTTTGCTTCAGGCTCTCTCAGTTTCCTGCCCTTGAGCTGGACAAGTTCCTGGAAGATGTAAGGTAAGAAAACTAATTAAAAGCATGTTTGCTGTTGATTTGCCTCCGATTTTGAAGATTCTGGCTGCTGGTAATATTAGGTGGGGAAAGTCGATTGCTCAACCTCTACTGAAACAATCAAGGGCCACAAATGGGAAGTTGTTGTATTGCAGTAAAAATATGTCATAAGTCTGTAAAACATGAAGTAGGGCATCGTATGTACACATATACATGCATAGTCAGCGAAACTCTGGATTTAAAAATATCCCGCCGTGTTCGGGGCACAACTGTGCAGCATTAAATCATCTGCAGTTGTCCTGAAGTTGTGCCTGCTTTTTCTCTGATGTTCCAGGAATGGGATCTATCCTCTGACTGCGTTTGGGGTCCCATGTCCACAGCAACCCCAGCAGGAGGCGGTGAAGTCGCCCATAGTGCCCCCCTCAGTGAAAACCCCAACTCCTGAACCTGCAGAGCTTGAGACCAGGAAGGTAAGATCACAATTTGGTAAATCCCTGCTATTACACAACCTTTACCTTTAAATTATTTGCTTACAGTTTTGGATTTGCTTTTACACACATACATTTGCATGCGCTGCGTGTCAATGTGTTATTTATGGTAAAGCTGTTTTCTGTGGCTTCGCAGGTCCTTCAGATGCAGTGCAATATTGAGCCTGTTGATGAGGGCACCAAGCATCATGTAAGTTTCAATTCTGCCTGTCTGAAAATGTTCCTTCCTCTATTGTCTGTGATATCTGAAAAAGCTTTATGCTTTATGACTTTTAAAATGACTTATTTTATTGTCCCTTCAGCTGACCCTGCTGCTGAAACTTGAGGATAAGTTGAACAGGCACTTAAGCTGTGATTTGTTACCAAGTGAGTATGTTCATTTCTGTCACCCTCAGGTTATTAATGCCTTTATTTGAAATTATTGGAATGATGATGATGATGATGATGATGAAGTGGGTGGAGAGGGAGATGGGGAATAACATGCAGTCTTCCATTGCTGCTGTTTTTGGTGAATTGTTGCTTTTACGGCGCATTAGCATCACCGACTGTTACTTCCTGATTGTATAAATGTATTTCACATCTCACAAGGCTTCTTTAGTTGTGATTGCCGTATGTTGTACTGTAAATACTGGTAGAACATACAGTTCACACTATATGTAAAGCTTGCTCGACAGCACCACAAAAGGAAAGCTCCACAGTACACTTTAATCACTTGAGTAACAAACTTTAAAGGCACATTATTTGATAGTTGGTAATATTTACATGATGCAGTTGTTGCAAAAAAAGGAAAGATGAGGTATCTTCATCCTGTGTTTCTGTGACTGCCTTTTTGTTCAGATGAGAGCGTGCAGGAGCTGGCTGTGGAGCTCGTTCAGCTGGGATTCATCAGTGAGGTAAGTTCATTATCATTATTTTCCTGCTGACCTGAACACTTACCTTGAGGATAAAAACCGCCCCTAAGATATTACTTAACCTCCCTGTCTCTCCATTTCAGGGCGATCAGCCACGACTTGCATCAGTTCTTGAAGAGGCCTTCTCAAAGTTCTACAGCCGTAATGGTTCCCTCAATCCGGTGACTGTTTCCTCGTAGCGGAGGACTCACTAGGCCTTCTTTCAGCCCTCCTCGTCCTCTACAACAGGACTAGCTTTTTGCTTCACCACTGAGTTGCAGGAAAGCCTTTGCGAGGACAGAGGAGGAAGCCTTGGTCTGGTTGCAGATCCTGCAGCCTGTTCTTGTATCTTCTGGTGGGAAAAGCTGCCACTAAGTGGTTGTCGCTTTCTATCTTTTTTTTTTTTTTCCCCTCCCACCCAATACAGCCATCTGCTTCTCTTTTAAAAGGGGAAATCCTAGTTGCAACTTAATGGAAAATACAGATGTTTTCACTTTTTTGGCTTTTTGTTCTTCTGAAGTAGTGAAGAAATGGTGGAGGTGAGCCACATAAAACTGTATAACAGCTGTATTTTCCTTAAGTCAGTATTAAAACTGTATTTTAAACATTTTTACTTACAATTGTTAAATAGTTGTCTGTATGAAGAAAAAAAAGATCTTTGTCCCGGCATACTGAAGTGTATGTATTATGGTGTTGTAAGGTTAATTCTGGTTGTCTGGTTGTCTTTCTCTTGAGCAGCGAGTGAGGCATCTTCCTACCTTGTATCAGTTTTTTTCCCCCGAAGACTCTCGAATGCATCAAGTTAGTAATGCAACAGATGCAACGTCACTTTTACTTTAAAAAATTCTGTAATTATACAACGTAGTCATGAAACATGCAGCTGCAACACAATCGGAAGAGCTACAGCTAAAGTATAAAACTATTTATTTGTGTGTCTTTCCTTGAGTGTGTTCTGTAATTCACTTCCAGCACTAAGGCCGGTGGTTTTTTGAATGTATGCTTTTAGTTGCTCTCTTTCTTTAAATCAAGCTGTTATTTTCTGTGGAAAAAACGGGGGTGTCGTCACTTGACTGTGGTCCAATTACTACTGTAGCTTCTGTTTTTTACAAGTAGCCCATTGCAGCACTTACAGATTAGGACTAGGTCAATAAAAAGTTGTCTTTAGGTGGCGTTTCACACAGGAGAAGGTGGTTAGATCTATGTGAAGATGCTTTATGCGTTCAAGCACGTGATCTGACGGATGTTTTTGTCAGCAGGTTTGGTTGAATGCATGTGTTGCTTTTCTGTGTCTAAATGGAAACTGGTGCATGCAACAAGCTTGCTTCTGGGGTTGGTTTGGTTCGCATTTTAATGATGATGGTGATAGATTTAAAGTAATTTATCATGCGGAAGAAGTTATGTCAGCCTAGACCCATCGACATTTAGATTCTGTGGCTCTGAATCAGTAGTTTCCTTCATGGCTGAGATATTGTGTGCGACACCACAGCGAAAAACTTGCCCTCCCACGTAGATATTCAGTTATTGGCTCGGACCACCCTTCTATGTTAACTGTTTTGAAATCTCTCTGCTAGTTTGCACTGCTGTACACTTTTATATCCTGTATGAAATGTCCCGTGGCCTCTAGCTCCTGCACACTAACAGGAGGAACTTAGATGAATTGGAAATGGTGTCATTAAAAAAAATTTAGTCCGTGATCCAGTCTCGTCTACTCTATGCTGTGACTACCTTCTGACAGGGTCTGTAGATACTGCGAGATACAAGTGTGGGGACTGCCTGGCATGCTTGTAACCATCTTGTACACTGTATGCTGGACACTGTGCTCTGTTTCTGCAACGCATTTACCCTCTTTTTTCACTTCCTGAAATAAAAATTTACAGCACTTCAAGGTCTTTGTTTGGTGTTGTCTTGTGTTGGTCAAAAGTTCATGGCTGCTGTATGAGGGGATTTCCACCTATACACAAAACCACACAATAAGCTTTATACTGAAAATTCCCTGTTCAAGGGAAAGTATGTTTTTTAGAAGAGCTGCTTTTCCCTGTTTATGTAGGATGGTGTGTACTTTTCTACCTAGCTATAGCTAATGTCTGTACATGCAGTACTTTTGCTGTTTGGGGCAATACAAATAGACTACACAAGTGGTCAAATTCACGCAAATTACACAAAGTGAAGATTTGCTTGGCTTTCAATCTGAAGACACCATTATAAAGTGAAAAGGAGTTCCACAAGGATCTGTTCTTGGTCCACTTAAATGTGTGTATGGTGTATGAGTGTGTCTGTTGGAATGATTTCATTAGTTTCCGCATTGTTTACAATCTACAAACATTCCAGTCTGAAAACTCATGTCAAGCACTTTTTTATACATACATAAATGTCTACTTAACCTCCTCAGATGTACCGAGATTCAGGATTGCTGGCTCACTAACTCTAGATACAATTCTGGAGAGTTTAACCTCTTTGGGACAAAAAAAAATGGAAGATCAGGTGCCTGACTTTCAAGGGAAGGTTGACATTCTGCCATATCTCTTATACTTGGCAGACATATAGCCAATGCCAGTCAGTATGAGGAGGCCTCTCTTGTGCCTTGTGTTTGGTTTTCTATGGGGTGGGAGATACAAGTATATGGCGAGTTATCTTTCCGATTTGAAAACAGTTTGAGGTTTAAAGTCAAATAATTCACACACAAACACACAAATGAGACCAAATTCAATTGTTTAAATTATTTATACAAAAAACCCATCCTGGTGTCTCAGGAGTGTGATCTCTACTCTCAGAGCATCACTGTTTCAATTCATTATTTGTTCAAAATGTTAAGAAACTGTAGCCCTTGTACAAGTATATTCATGTACATACTTAAAGTCACAATGTGTGCTCAAATAACAGTTGAATAAAACACATTTCATGCTGACGAACACATTGCCGTACAAAATTACAGCAGTATAATAAAAGTACAGCAAGACTAAAAAATATTTTTTTATATAAAACACCCTAGAAACATACTCTAAATAAAAAGCTACCAAAATGGTGACATCCAGTTCATGAGTAGTTTTCAGCTGCGTGGGCATTTTTCAATTCTGTACATTGTGAGTAAAAAAAAAGAAACAAAAAGAAAGAAACAAAAAAACTACAAAAACAGTACATAGCACTTCAATTCAAACACATTACTCTTTCACATTAAATTTGTGTTTTACTTCCCAGTTTGAAAGTAATGTATATAGGCACAGTAATTAAATTTACGACCCACGTTAGGTCAACACCATTCCTTATTTGTTATGCACAACTTTAACTCAGGGACAAAGTCTAATTCTGGCCGACCAAAATAAATAAATAAATAAATAAATAAATAAAAGTTGCAAACGTTCAGTTTGCTTTCTCACCCTTCGTCTTTTTTCCAAGGGTTTGCCATTGTGGAGCTGAGAGCTGCTGTACATCAAAATGTAACTGTCAGTTCAAACAAAGAGAGATAATCGCAGCTCCTCAACTTTATCACTCCAACAACTAAACATCACTGTTAATAGTTTTTACAGAAACTCCCAGATTACAGCCGGGAAGATTCATACAAAAACCTCTTAAATCAAAAGAGATTTTGATTTAAGAGACGGGTCTCATTCCAAATAACATTTAGAGGTTTTAAACTTGACGAACCCACGACTCTCATCTGAATTTCAGCACAATTTCAAATCACCTTAATCCACTATTTACAGGCACTGACAAGAGCATCTTGTTGCATACTTTACTTAAAAGTTAAGAATATGCTAATGCTGTTGGTTAATAAGTATATTTATGCTTTGAGAGAATTCTATATAGAATTGGACCTAACATTTGTATCTAATCAAATAAAGGTTTTATTTAATTTTTAAAATCCAAAGGAAGCCCATAAACACGACTACCATAACTAGGGCTTGGAGATAATTATAATTAATGTTATAATTTCTCTATAAATATATTGAGACATTGTTCACAGTTCTGATGTCTAAATGAACACATTTTACTAAAATATGTGACAGCAGGAAATCTTTAATAATAATATTTGATTGGGGCTCAACCACAGGGAACAAAGAATATGGAGTTAATGTTGGCTGAATTCCATTTAGCTGCTTCAGTTTCAGGGTCCTAGTATTGTTCATGCTGGCTAATCACAGCTCACTTGGACACAAGTAGATGTCTGTGGTTTATAGGCTTATTAGATCCTTTTGTTCTAATATATATATATTTACTAAAGAGGATTTGGCTCAAGATTTTAACATTTCATCATGTTAGTTTAAACTCTTTAGTCAAATCAAGATCAGTCTGTAATGATTGAAACAGAGGTTAGTATCGTCTCTAAAGTCTTACAACTTTGTAAGTACAATTCTTCTGATGAAGACATAAATAATATCGAGTGGTTAGTTTTACTTTTATACCAAGAAAAACAAGAGTTGTGGAGAGTCATCAGGTCTTTTAAGGCAACAGTCAGTAACTTGTTAGTGGATCCGTTGGGTATCTACCCGTCAATTTTGAACTGTGACATGAGTAAAACGGAAAATTCACGATCACTGATCTGAGATCTGAGTTTCTGGCAATAGACGAGAGAGGCAGAACAATTGGGCGCAGCTGTTTTTGACCAGAGTTAACAGGACTCATGAACTTAGAAACACTTGTTTTGTCTCCTGTGTGAAACCAGATTTTACACAAATCTACAGGATCTGAATCTGAACAAATGTTTGTCCTTTTCTCTGGCGCATCCCAACGTAAATGGTTCGTACTGTTAGGACAACTGTATCTTAACATAAAAAGTGTGCCTACAGCAGCTCTGCATATCAGATATCCTATTTTGGAGTGAAACTCTTGATGTGTGATGAATCAGGAAATATATGTAATAATGTCAGGTTAGCACCATCAGTGCAGCGAAAGGCATTCGACTTGTGGAGGATCATTCTGGTTCCACTCATGGCTGGAAGTAGTTGACTTCGTGGTGTCATTTAGCTCTGTAATAAAATCCATTAGCCTCTTCCCTTGATTGTTTTATAATGAGGGGGTTTGCCAAAGAGGTCTGAGGATCAGAAAAAAAGCGATGACATCCTTTATTTCTTTAAACACTGGTACATCAGTGCTCGTGGATTCAGCATGTAGCGCTCAGAGTTGAGTAACTTGGTGAGATACTGCGGCACGGGAGGCCGAGGGGCCATGTAGGATACGCCGGGACTGACGGCCATCACCTCTGCAATCTTCTGCTTCATCTCCCTTATCTCGCGGTCCTGCTTCATCACTTTATCTGACGGACGGACGGACAGAGACAACATATGAGGGAATGGATAATGCAGGATGAAGCAACAATCATATTTCAAGTCATTTATGAACTATAATGTGTTGAAAAGTTGGATTCATTATTATTGGAGTTATTCTCTTTCCTCAGGTTTCCCAAGTACAAAAACTACTACTATGTAAAGTTTATATGGTAGTTGGGATGAAATAAATTCAAATCCCCTTAATCCAAAGAGGAAATATGCAAAGTTTCAATCCAGTCTGATAACAAAGGTATAGTTATCATGTTTATGTAGTGCCATCTATGGGCAAATTACTATACACTTTTGCAGAATGTATCAAAGTTAATGTGTACGTCTGTCACATAAATGTGGCTGCAGTTGCACAATGTTACAGTAGTTTATGTAAAACAGGCCTCACTTATGGCAGCCAGTTAAGAGAATAACAAGATATCAAAAAACAAACTTATTACCTTGAGCAATTTCCAGCTGCCTGCGGGCGTCTCCCAGAGCCGAGAACAGGTCCAGTTTGATGCGAGTCTCAGCGCTCAGGTTGTACTCCAGATGTTGAGCCTTCTCCTGCATGGCTGACAGAGTGGACAGCAGCATGTCTGTCTCTTTCTCCACACAGCGGTACTTTCCCAAAGCCTGAGTCCAAAAGAGGAGAAGACATTAAACAGTAAGAACATGTGTAAAACGTCAAAACACCAATCAAACCACGTGCGATGACCACCTGAGGTACTCGCTGCTTTGGTTTCCTAAGTGTTTCTAACTTTTAAAAATGTAATTGTGATGTGTCCTTTTGCCTTCATGGACATGTTTCTTTTTCATCCACTTAGGGAACCAAAGCGCCACAGAGAAAAACAGCTTCCACATACTGATGATGAATCGGCCAGCCGTTCAAAAAACATGAGAGCTGCACATTATTAGAGAGATACTCTGAGGGGATGATTCTTTCTGCGTTCACATCGACATTTAACGGTTTCTTGCAGTTTTTGAGGGAGTTGACCTGTACTCTTCTTTTAAAGCAGTGCAATGTTTTTCATGAAAGACCTGGCTTCTGTTTCAGCATGCTTCAATGGAGAGTATGTCACTAGAAATGAAATCAAATACCACACAGTACAACAATGTACACACCTGATGTCAAAAACAACAACAAAAGGAAACAACCATACAATGTTACTGCATACTGGTATGATGACAAAGTGCAATGTGTTGACTGCAGGCCAAAACAAATCAAAATACTAAATGCCTCCATGAAAACCATTCAGTATTTGACTAAAGTTCACAAACACAAAGAATCATAGACAGAAACCGAGGACAAACCAAGTACTGCACCACTTGAGACTCACAGACACTTAAACTCACAAGTTCATTCCCAAATAGTGTAAAAAAAAAGATACCTCAATATCACTCTCTAGATCTACCACACGACTCTCTTTCACTTGATACTCCAGCTGTAGTTGTTTGAACTCTGTCTCTAGATCTTTAACTCTTTTCCTTAACATTTGGGTTTCACAGTGTTCCTGCCTGGTGTAGAAGATGGAAAAGATAACAGTTTTGAGCTGTTAAAGAGAGCGATTTCATTGGGAATAAAGATCGGTTCACACAGAAAGAAACATTTCATTTTTCATTTTTTACATTGGTCTTGTTTTTTGTTTTTTTAATATTATGTAATGAAGATAGTTACACAAAATACAAGACATACAATATATTAACAATTTGTAAAAAAAAAATGTCAACCCTGTGTGCTTCCCAAAGGTTGACGTAACACACACAGAATAATAAGAAAATACAGCAGATACTGGTTATATAAGTAAAGACTGAGAGGGATTATGTTTTAATGAGTCTATACATTGTTTTTTTTTGGTTTTGTTTTTGGGGGGAATCCAACCTAGTATACCTATAATGAGAAAGTCAATATCAATCATCATATCATGTCACTGTCATATCTGTACTTTCAACATAAGGCTACAGTTAGCTTAGCTTAGCATAAAGACAGAAAACAGGGGAAAACAGCTAGCCTGGCTCTGTCCAAAGGGAACTATACCTGCCTACCCTCTAAAGCTCACTAATTGAGTTTAAATTAAGTTATAGCTCATTTTCTATTTATTTGGCATACAAAGACCAAAGTGTGGACTATTTCTTGGCTGGCCACAGAGACTCCTGTGAAACCACAAAAAGGTGTTATTAACTATGTTACGTGTACAAATGAATCTAATAGGATATATCGTGTTAATTATTGAGCTTTAAAGGTGCATGTAGGCAGATTTTCTTACCTTTGGAAAGAGCCATTCTAGCTGTTTTCCCCTGTCTTTATGCTAAGCTAAGCTAACAAACGGATGGCTCCAGCTTCACACTGAGTGCACAGACATGAATGTGGTATCAATCTCTTAATCTAACTCTCGACAAGAAAGCAAACAAGCATATTAAAACTATTTCTACAAACGTGTGTCCGTACACTCACAGCACCATTTAACAATAATCAGTAGAAAACAAATGCAGATCCAGTTTTACTTTCCAGGCACAAAGCAGCTTCAGAAACAAGGAACTGTAAAGGTTTTGATATGTGTAACGTACCTGTTTGTTAGACTCCGTGCTGTGCTGGCTGCGTCCTCCAGTTTCTGAGCCTGAAGCTCAGCCAACTGTTTCTCAACAGAGAGTCTGGCCTCCGTCTCCGCTCTGGTCTTCTTCTCCAGCATCGCACTGCTCTGTTTGTCCCTCTGCTTGGTTTTAGTCAGACACAGAATCCTGGAAAGGGAAAAAACATTAAACTCGCTTTAAATAACGTCAAAAACAACACCATAAATAACTGCGTTACTGCAACTTCAGAACGCCTTGAAAACAGATCATCCTTGTGGTTGCTGAGTCACTGGAGAGCGCCTTGCTTTAAAAACTGGAGCACGTCTTATCACAACTGTGCATAACACGCTCATCTCGAACAGGATTTAAAGCCTCTGGCTGCTGGATGAGAATTCAACTGTTCAACTGTAACTGGATGGACGAAAGTATCATGTTTTTCAGCACTGTTTTTAGCTTTGAGTACTAATCGGTTTTTCCACATAAAACTGTGGAGTCACATTACTATTGTGAGACACATACTCACATTCACAATAAGCAAAATAAAGCCTAACCCTGCATTAATCATCTGAATCTCGCTCTGTAAAAGTATTCAACTATTAAAAATTAATCAGCAACCATTTTAATAATGGATTAGTTGTCAAAAGTTCCAAAATTTACAAATTTCGGCTTCTAAATTGTGATTTTTCTTTTGCTGTTCTTACTCTACTGTGACAGTAAATTGGACATCTTTGGGTTTTGGATTGAATAATAGCAAAATACAAAAAAACAGACTAATCAAAGTATCCATTATAAGTTATAATTGAACAATGTTGTAAATCAACAATCAAAGAAAGTGGATAGGTGAGAGTGTGAGTGTTACCTTCATACATTAGAATATTTACTATATATATATATATATATGTGTGTATATGTTCCGATTTATTTATGAATAAGAATTATGAGCCACAATCCCTAAATATACTTTTATGTGATATAAATTATGATCCAGCTTAAAAGACATTCATCAAAAACATCTGACCAGAAAACTGTTTTCTTTCTGCTTGCATTCATCTCAGTCTTACTCTTTCATTAACAGACTGATGTAATGTGTAAAACAGCCCACAGAAGGAGCCAAAGACAAGCGTTTGGCAGCGTATCAGGTAGATGACTCACTTGCTCTGGAGCAGCATGTTGGACTGTCTGAGCAGGGAAACCTCTGGTCTCAGGCTCCTCTCGCTGTTGGTCAAGTTGCAGATGTGACTACGCAGCTCCTGCTCGCTCTGCCTGCTCGTCTGCAGCTCGCCCTTCAGCCTCCTCAGCTCCTGCTCCAGCCTGAGAGACAATAATAAAGGTTGAGTTACAGGGAGTGAAAGAGCAATGATTTCACTAAAACTGTTTGAACTGAAGTCAATAGTGGCATACTTGTTCATGTGTTCAGCGTGGTAATTCTGAGCTGCTGTGGCTGTGCTCTTGTCTGTTGCGTCCCGGTTAGGGCTGACTGTCTTTGAGCTGGATCTCTGTTTCTTCTCAGTCCTCCCAGCAGGTGGCGAAGGAGTGTTTGTGCTGCCTCTGCTGGCTTTTGGCGAGGAGCTTTTAGTCGGCCGTGTGGCTTTGCTTCCTGGCTCATCTTGAGGTAGATTTTCTGGGGTCGTAGAAGATTCCGGTCCTCCTGCCCCGCAGTGAAGCAGATCTCTGGACTCGCCAGGTTTGGATGATGACGGCCGCCGGTTTGATTCGGCTGACCTCACCTCCTGTGTTCCTTTCTCTGTCGCTCTCTCCTCACTGCGGATCTGGAGGCAGTCCACAGTGTGTCCCTCATCGTGGGCCACGACAGCGCCGTTCTGACACTGGTACTGAGTCGACTCAGACTTTATCTTCCATTTAGAGCCTGCAAGTACAGGCAGAAACAAGAAGAAGGTAATATCCCCATTCTGCTATGATCTCAATTGTGCACACGGGAAACAGTGCAAATACATTTTCAGTCTGCTGTCTTCAAAAGTTAATTTGCTGCATTTAGGTATTACGAAGTCGAAAGGATTCCTCTCCCGGAAACTTGACTGACTGATATGTACTCTAACTGACCTCCTCTGGTATTTAGAGCAGAAAACAAGGCATTAGAGGCATGAAAATAAGTAGCAGTCCTCTTATTATTGTTCTACTGCCACAAAACAACAACACCCTTACAGACAGCGTCCTGCCCCGGCTTGGGTACGTTGTATAACGGTTAAAATTAATATTTATTTAAGTTTACAGGTATGGGAACGGGTAAAAGTAAATGGGCAGCGAATGCAAACAAGTGAATGTGTTGTTTTTCTGGAGAAATCATAAATATAAATGACAATCTATTTTTAACATCTTAATCAGCTAACTTTTATCAAAACTAATCAGCCTGCAGGAATTTTCTGAATTCTGCAAGCTCGCACATCCTCTCTCTGCAGCAGGAGCTCAGGTACCAGTTGACAGAAACTCTTCTAAGAACACAACTCTCAAACTGCCAAAACAGGAAGACAAGGACGCTATGACTCAGTTTGCGGAAATGTGTTTTTTTTGGTGCCAGGACATCCGATCGTTGGAAACTATGTATGGCTGGGCCTGTGGACGCAGCAGCATCATAGTGAGTTCAGTTAGCCGGTGATTGACTCCGCCAAACAGACTGCAGTTAATTATTTCTATATGCTAACACTTCTAACTGTGCATGTAAAAATACGACTGTGTGTCTTTATATTAACCTACTGAGCTATACGGGCACAAACTCTATTTGCATTTTGGGGGGGAACTGTGATTGTCTCTGAGCAACATCCGCTGCCATGTGTCATAATTTTCACCTGGATGAAATAAAACAGAGATAATTGCATTGTGTAAGAACTCCCTCATTGGCATGACTCATCGCCTGTAGAGTGAATTAACTTGTAAAATCAGTGGGTGACGTACGGCTGTATTATTAGAACTGTAGAAAATGCATGAAAGTAATAATAATTTTCAGTAACAATTTATAATTGTCTATGTTAACACCCAGTTTTTGAGTCCACCCACAGTGCATTTGGAATAAACAGTACAGTACTGAGTGGTTACTTTAAACGATGATCACACAAACAAAAGAGCAGTGTCTCCACTGGACTAGACTGGCAAACTAAAATAAATTAGATTGTAAAAATGCTGGATGTAAGCGTGTATAGATGAACGAAGCAGAAGACTCACTGCTGCTGCCATCTGTGCCAGTCTTGGGGTAAACCTGCAGGCCTGGAGGGAGCGAGTGCTGCAGGAGGTGCATGTGGAAGTCGTTCTCGCTCTGCACTGATTTCTGTATGCGCAGCTTGAAGATGTTGGTAAAATAGCAGGTGGCATAAAACCCCAGATACACCACAGGATATCCAATGCTGGAAGTGAATACAAAGGGGAGAAGACACATATAAACACATCTCGGCTAACATATTTCTGCTCTTAATAGTTACTCTAATCATTCCATTCATCACAGAGGGGAGTAATAAAGATGTGAAACTGAATCGGCTCAATTAATTTAAGTGAGAAATCTAAATTCTGATAAAAGGGTGATTTTAAATCAACATACCAGTGTGCAGCAAATAGATGAGACAGGTTGGCGTGAGAGGTTTTCAGGTCTTTGAGTCGAAGTGAAGCTTCTGTGTACACGAGCAGAATCCACAGCGACACTGTCGATATGCAGATGCCTTTTTCTGCAGAAACATGTGAAATAATCAGACATGAAGAAAGACTCACTACTAATTCAGTTAAATTAGGGAGGCACCAATCGGGAAATTCTGGGCCAATATCAGTGTTTAAAGTAACCTTTTTTTGTTGTTATTTATTTGACTTTTTTGCCAGGGAAACAAAGAAATCTGATACTTATTAAATATAATATATATAATCATATGTGTGGGCAAATACTCACCTGTGTGCCATATGTAATTGAATAATACATAGGTGCTCGCCACAAAGAACAGCCAATGCAAAGGAACAAAAATTAAACAAAAGATGTCCAGAGTGAAGGCCGCACAAACAAAAACAACACAAATAACCTGCAAACAAAGAAAACATTCATTTCAGTAAAGACGTGTTTGATTAAGTCCGTGTGATTGTCATCATCTGGAACTACTTGCACACAACAGCAGGGGGTGTTTCTCACCAGCCCGTGGCAGTGGAAAGTGGTGTATACGCTCCCAAAGAAGAGCCAGCACGGCCACAGATACTCCAGTCTGAATTCGAGGATGAAATCTGCCAGCAGCACCAGCGTCCACATCATCATAAACTTCAGGACGGTGTACGCGCTGCGCAGAGACAGAGGGACAGTCAAAAGTCTGTCACTGTTACTATCATACAGGGGGGTGTGTTCAATGTTCAGTTTGGATAAATATGAAACAAAACGTGGATTATAGCTTCTGATTCTAGTAAATAATGACACTTTAGATACAAGGAATTAAACACACACACACACACAAAAGGGAACAAGACTGGGAATCTGATAAATGTCGCTGAAGCTCTAATTGAGCAGCTGCATCTTGAAAACGGCGTTTAAGTGGGGCGCTAAAAGAACAATGACTGCTCCTTCGTTCGTTCTATTAGGCGACCACGAGCCAAAACAGGGGCTGTGGTTTCCTCCTTTGTTCCCGCTCATCCATAGGCTGCTATCACATCACCCCTTCTTTGTTTGGTAACCATGGCAATATTTCATCTGGAGGAGAGAGGGAGCACCACAGCATCCTACTGCACATAGTTCACGTCTCCCTTTTAATGGTACTGATAGATAAAGTGCATTTTAATTTATCTTAAAGGTCTTTTATGATAGATGCTACATATGGAAGGTATTTCACAACTATAAAACACAGTATTTTATCTAAATAAGAGTGGGGGAAGCAATCGAGGACCGCAGCATTTTTAATTCTTAATACAAGTTCATATTTGTCCCTTTTTAATGTTACTGTAGGAATGTTTTTTAATTTTTTTTAATCTCACTGGTATTTTAAATTTAAATGCCAAATATGCAAACACTAAATAAACAAACAAACACAATATTCAATCTTTAAGAGTAGAGAGGGAGAGAAAAGGGAGGACTATAGCATTTAAAATTCTTTAAAGAAGTTTATACATAAGTATAAATAAATTATTATTAAAATAGTGTATTTTAATTTATCCTACAGATATTTTTAATCATATCAGACAAATTATTGCAAGTTATTCCATAATAAAATAAATAATTACATATCATGAAAACACCCTTAAAAGAAGAATTATTATATTATATATATTTTAAAATGACACAATATGGACCTGTTTTCTATAAATGTGAAATAATTCAGTTAAAAACAAGTGGTTCTCCTGAGGCAATCTTTTCTTGTCTGGACGTCTGTCTAGACGCTTCTAAATTATTATTTTTTTCATGTGCAAAAAATGAGCAGCTTTTCTTTCCTGGAAACACACAGCTGCTAATATTTTAATACCACAGCGTATAAGTCTGAGGACACACAGGAGAGACGAGCGGATGAAAACAGCCTGAAAGCAGAAAGCAGGCCGACGTTAACTTGCACAGCTGCAGAATTTTCTGCCTTTTTTCTGTAAACAAATGAAGTAACTCTCAGTCTCCGCAGTCCAGCCCTGCAGGAAAGCCTTCCATTAAAACCTCCAGGGTCTGGGTTCATTTATTAAAGAAGAAAAAACCAACAAATAACGTGATGAAGTGATGCGAGGCAGGCAGACACAGACAGGTGACGACGGCTGAAATTCACACAAAGACGGACACCACAACAAAAGCAGCCTCCGCCAGGCGACCGCGGCGGCTGCAGCTCGGTACCTCTCCGACAGCTTCTCCGTTATCTTCAGCTTCTTCATTTTCCGTAGCCTGTTCGCGTCCACATAACGTTTCTTCATCTTATGGCTTCTGCTCCCTCCGTGCTGTTTTTATTGTGCTTTTACAACAGCAGCAGCAGAAACAGCAGCGGCGAGGAGGAAAAGAAACACACAGAAAATAACAGAGAAAGAGAGAGATCCCTCCTTGTGGAAGAGGATGTTCAGTTCAACCTGTGATTATGACTGAGCGTCCTGCGCATGCTCAGTGGGTGTTGTACCTACAAGTGTTCATCGCAGGAGGGGAGCAGATGAACATCGTGTTACACTGATGTTGCGTTGATTGGTGTTGTGGGCCTTTTTCACAGCAGCCATTTTGATATGAAGTAAGTAGGGTAAATCGCAGGTGTTCGCGGTGCTAGTCATTAAGGTTTATTTTTAGTGTTTGCAGAGGCTGTGAGACAACACGCACACCATGGGGTTTGATTAGATCAATACCTGTGATCAGTCACCCTACTAGTTTATATGGAAGCCAGTAAAAATATTGAGATATTAAGTCAGAATATGAGATACTAAATAAAAAATAATAAGATACTAAGTCAAAATAATAAGATACTAAGTCAAAATAATGAGATATTAAGTCAAAATATTGAGATACTAAGTCAAAATATTGAGATACTAAGTCCAAATGATGAAAAGTTTGAAAGTTTCTCAATATATATACTTAAAGAATCCTTTTTTCCGTCACATGTCAAAATGGCTGCTGTGAAAAAGGTCTGTTACATCCCTGATAAATGCAAAATAAAAGTATAGTCAGCTGCAAATATGGCTTGACCCCAAAAAAATTCTAACAAAAGTTTTCTCAGTGGTTTACAGTAATATCAGATGTACTTAAAAACATACCTAAAAGTTACCCAAAAGTTGACTCCAAGAAAGGCCCCCATTCCAGACAAACCACGGTGGCCTCAGGTCCTTAAAAATAGGACCGCAATTACTCTTTCTTCTTCCCTAGACCCAGGAATACTTGTCTGATACATGTTTTTGCCCATGTAATGATTCTAATTACCGCCATATTTGTGCCATGATAGATAAGTCATTACAATACAATATAATATTTAGCAATTTGTTACACGAGCATATTTTAGGCAAAATAATTACAAATTCCCTTAAGTAATTGCATATTTCTCGCTGTTCCATAATCATTTTGCCTAGTGGTGGTTGTTTCTGTGGTTTCATAACCACTTTTGATTCCAATTGAGAATGAATTCATTAGACTGTGGTGGTACTGTAAAATTTAGGTCCAAAACAGGGCTGCCCAACGTGAAGGCTCATTCCCCCTAACCCCTTTTTATTTTTTTCTTGTTATTTTATATATTTATATAATGCGGTTGGGTTTTTTGCCTTTTTTTTTTATGTTTTTTAATACCCTTCTTATTTATACATATCTTTTTCTATTTTATTCAGTTGTTTCCTTTTACTTTTTTTGCACCTAGTGACCTTCCACTAAGATTACGATTTAATCGTCACACTCTCTCCCCATAGAGGTTGATTATAGTGATTCTCACAATTCCCAACTTGCAATGGGTCCACAAGCCAAGCATGCATGGCAGTTCCATGATGCCTTGCAACTGGCACCCAGTTGTGCAATTACAGTGGATCATCTGCAGGAGGCTTTCTGGGGCAGCAGTCTTACTGGTCATAACTGGCAAGTCCACCATACATATATAATCTTGAACTTTACACCTGGGGACATGTATCAGGTAACTTTTTTTTTTTTAATCCAAGCTAGGTTAAAGTTATGATTACGATGATTTATCTAAGCCTCGCTGTCGACAATAACAGTCTTTAGAAGATATCGATGACAAGCAGCTGTTCCCATGGTTACCACGCGTCGAGCGCCTGTCTCCCACATTCGGAGGAGCGCAGTGAGACCCCGCGGATACACGGATCCACCGACCACTATTTCTCTCCAGAAAGACTTCACACAGGCTGACTTTCTGTTTCCTTTGTCATGTTCAATCCTTTAGTCCACACACAATGAGCCTGTCACGGCAGGTGCCATGAATAATGGGTAACTGTTTCATCAGCAGTTGCCATTCTTGGAATAAAGTATCCTCAACTTGAATCACTTGCTCCCAATATCGTGCAACTAAACCAGCCATGCATAACATGAGCAAACACTTTTTTTTAATTTAACATTAACACACTCTTGGCTCCTCGTTTTTATAGTCACAGATATTCTTAATAAGACAGTCAATCATGCAGAGGCCAGAAAAAGGTTGTCTGACATGCATGCAGTGGCTAAAGCTTACTTAATCACTGCGTTCACTACTTCTGCTGCTGCATGATGGTTCTAGCAACGAAATAACAGAAAGGCGCTTAAAACCACGCTCTTCCTGACAGGACTTTGATTTCGAAAGCGCACACACACACACACACACACAAACACAAACAGGCTACAGTCAATGTGTCGATACTAATTTCATACAGCAAACTATATTAAAGCACGAGAGGCAGTCTTCCTTTCTGACATTAACATAGCAGGAAATCATCACAACAGTTAAATTCATTGTTTTCAAGAGAGCCTTACCTTCATCATCCTCTTTGTGTGTGAGAAAGAGCATGAATGTAGGTCTGTCCGAGGACAAGAAAGTATGAAGGGAACTGCGTTAAACACTTCCTCTATAGGCTGTTGGTGGGTGGAGCTGTATGAGTCATTTAAGTTCTTTTTTTTAACCCTCTTTATTGAAACCACATCAGCAGTCTATGATGACACAATCCTTTTTGAGTTGTACAAAACCTATATCTTCCAATACAACTTCAAGAGAGTAAGAAATCTAATACTGCGCGTAACTGATATTTGCATAGCTGAGATTGAATTTAAATAATAACTTACTGTTGAGCCTTGAAGAAGACTTCCACTGAGTCCTTTGGGTGCCAGGATTGTGTGTGTGTGTGTGTGTGTGTGTGGGTGTGCTGTTACTACATCGATGGTGACGTAGAAACAAATCAGAAAGCTTCCTTGTTGGCTTACCATGAATCTCACCTCAACATGTGACAGACATTCTCTGGAAGAGATCCCTGTCATTTACCATTACAAAAACAAGAGTGTCATGCTCAGCGTTTGACATATCACAACAAGTATAACTGCTTGATCGACAGAGAATTCTCACTGAGTGGGAAGACAAACTAAAGATCAAAGTTCACCAAAGTTTGTTTAAGCCATTATTACACAATAGAATTTTGGACATGATGTAATACTGCTGATTAATATTTGATAAAAAAGGTCAGACATGACATTTAAGACGAACATTTTACTTGTACAGCTGACAGAAACTGTAATCTTGAAGCTTGAGATTGTGTTTGCTCATGAGGTACCAGCCTATTAAAAAGGGTAGAAATGAAACCAATGAGTATTCTCAGTCTTTTGGGACTGAATAATAAAATAATTATTGCAACAGGAGAAATTCTTCAGTCATTAATAAACGGATAATAGGTAACTATCCAGTTTATATCAGGGTAATAAATCAACAATACATTTTTCACCTTTTATGCTGAAAATGTAACCTCTCGGACCACTAAGAGCAGCTTTGAATGGCGACACACAGCAATAAGATACATCATTTAAGATTGTGAGATAATGTGAGATTATATATCTCTAATCTGTCAGAGGAGAGTGCTACAAACTGTTAATGGACCAGTGTGTCTTTAGTGGCATCTAGTGGTAAAGTTGCAGATTGCAGCTAACTAAACATTGCTCACGTATGTACTTGACGGCCTTGGAATAAAAACGGAAAAGGACAGAATAAAAAATAACAAGAGCAGAATAAAAAAATAACAAGAGCAGAATAAAAAAATAACAAGAGCAGAATAAAAAAATAACAAGAGCAAAGAGTAGCTTTATTTTTTTTATGCACTGTTATCTCGTGATAACGACTTATTAATTCGTTATCTCGACATAACAAAAATCGTTTTGTCGTGATAACGAATTAATTAATAATGTGTTCGTCTCTCTGCTAGAACGGCTTCCGTCACTTTACCGGTCGGTTACAGCTAAGGCCAGCATGCTACGGAAGCCGATTCGTGGGCAGCGGTATTAGATGAAGTCAAAGCTAGGAACTAACAAACTATTACATATTGAAATGGCTTACGAGTGTCATAATTTCTTGTTCGCCTCTCATACACTGTCGAGGCTGCAAGGTGGAAGCAGTACGGTACTCAATCAACTCTGCTCTCTGCCCCCCAATTATGTGCACGCGCACATTAACCCTCACTCCCTCCCTCTCCAACATCTAATAGTTGGCGATTGGCTGACTGGTTTGTTGTATTATGGCACAGCCTGCGCCACTAAGTTGTTTTTTTGACTCGTTTACGAGCCCTGTGTTGTCTCCCGAGACCGGGTTTTTTCACAGTGTATTCAGGGGGCAGGCAGCTAGCGGATCAAGGAGAGATGCCTACGATTTGAGAAAAAAATTTAAATTGCGCTGAAACCATGCAAGATCGCATAGTGCACCTTTAACGTTTTCTTTTAAATTCATCCTCTGGGGACCATGATTGTTTGTACCAAATTACATAGGAATACATCTAGTAGTTGTTAAAATATCAAAAGTCAAGATATTTAAATAAAAACCTAATCTCTATAAACAGATGAATGCATCATCTGTAGGCAAGGGACCAAGATTTGGGCATCAGCGGGCATTCTGGTTTCCATTTGTATCCTGAGTAGTATTGACCAGTCACGTTGGACAGTCTTTCGTTGCATGCAGGTGTCCTTCCGGAGCAAAGGAGGCGGAACACTTTGGTTGAAATGCAATCTTGGAACCTATTGGCTGTCTGGCAACAACTTAGATTTTTATTGGCTTTTTAAAAGGTAAATGCAGACATCCGTTTATAGAGATTATCTAAAACATGTCTTTCTTGTCATTCTTAGCAAAACAGTTGCTAATACAACTGCAGAGGAAGTCTTGGCCTGTATTTTCCAGATGCTGGCTATATCGGAAGTGCCCAATCATTGGACATTGAATGTTTGCATACAATTATATGGCAAACTAGTTGTGAGCTGAGATAGACAGACACCGCCATCCCTGGGGAAGCGCCGCAAGCATAGTTAAGAGCAAAGCAACATTTTGTTTTCCATTTTAGGTATATCAAAACACAAGGAAGAAGGAAAATATCATACTACAGACTTATTAAATCTTATGAAGGGATGTGGGAGCCACAGTGTTTGGTGGTTCATTTTTCTTTCTTTGTGAATAAGAAATGATAGATTGTGGTAGAAGTGGTAGATTTATTGTGGTTGAGGTCATAACATTTATGTAAAAGTGACTTATGTAAGGTCAATAAATCCAAATAATGAATCAAATTTTTTCAAGATTGTCATTCTCCACAATGTAATCTTTCCTTCTCATATTGTTTTTTTGAACAGCAAATGAATGAAAACTAATAAAAATATATAATATAATCTGATGTCTCACAGATTATGCTGTGACAGAGGCATTCCTTGTCCAAAGAGAGATGTGTATTCTTTGCATTTCAGCAGCACAAATGGCACAAATGTGACTTTCAATGCATGTTGAAATTTGCTGTCCTTGAAATTAAAAAACAAATTAAGTGGATCAAGTCAGATTTTCCAGTCATGGTGCTGTGTTCTTAATGAACAGAATTTGTTGCCTGATACATTAAACAAAGGCAAGGGACTGAGAATGCTCACTAACATATAGATATTTTCCTGACTAAGATGGTTTTTTTGGAGAGTTTAATTGGTGCTGCTTGGAGATTCCTGATTATTTTCATGTCTTTCTGAAGTAAGCACTTCTTGCCGGTCAAACATCACTCTGCCTCCTCTTCCTCTTTCCCCTATTTTCTTTCTTTCCACATCTTCCCTCATCTGTTCTGCATTGTTACTTCTTGCTCCCTTCTCCTCCCCCTCCCTTTCCCCCCATCCCCCTATCTCCTCCTGTCTCTGGCCCCTGACAGCACCTCTTATACCTCCTGCTGAATGAATATGCTGCCACTCATTTGACGAACCAATTCAGTGTGCTCAGGGTACACAAAAAGAGCACATCCCCTCTACCCCTCTAAGAAATGTTTTTTGGATGAGGCAATTACTGGAGGAGGGATTGGACCGGCCAAGATGTAAAACCACAGCAAGAGAGGGAGAGCGAGAGGGGGAAGAGACAAGATAGGAGGATGGGGAGGAAAAAGAGAGAGGAAAGTGGGATAGGGGTAAGCAAAGCTCCAGGATGAGGGAGGGAGTGGAGAGAGTATCGGAGGAGGAAGAGAAGCAGAGGTGACAGTGATCGCTTCTCCTGATTTCATGAATCATTTTTTCCCGAACCAATTAGGAGGGAATCAAATATTCCATGAGCCCAGGTAGATGGCCTGGTGCTCAGACTCCCTCCCCTCTCTCCTGTAATCAGTTCCTGACAGTTTTGTTTTACCATAAACATACCGGCTACGTCATTACAAGCCATTTCCTGTTGTACATAGAGTCACAATCCTTAATCCAGTTGTAAGCTGTTGACACCAACATCACCACAACACCTCCGTACACCAGGTCAGGATTCCTTTCTGAGAACTGGCACATCCTGTCCCACAGTGTGATACGATAACAATTATTATCCTACAGTTTTTCTTTTCATCTGGGGTCCAGGGACCCCTTAGGGTTCCTTGGAGGGGTTCGGAGGGGTTCAAAGGGGGTCCTCCCAGGAAAAACTTTTTGGGGCTACAAGGTTAGCCATGATACGAATGTATAAGAATAATAACTCTGCTCATAGGTTTCACACTCTTGCACTGTTAATCTGCCAACTACAAGT